TTCCTCTCCTATCATTCAGATTGGATGTGGCAAGCAAGCCGGAGCGTTCACATGTTTGCTAGACGAAACGGGAAGGTACAACTCGGAGCATTACGCCAACACGGATCTCGAACCAGATTTTAAAGCATCTACACTTGGTGAAGTTCTTCATCTTTTGAAGGCGAATTTTGAGTTGGCACCATGATCCTGACTCTTGCAGATGGTAGAACGTTTAAGATGTATTGATGGATTTCATGAAAAGGGAAAAATAAGTTCCAAAATTGTTTGAGTGATTAGGATTTTAATTGAAAGTTGAGTCGTTCTACAAACGAAAAGAAGAGATGGGAATCCTTCTACGACAATTGTATCAATAAAAATCTTTGAACTATCATTTTATCATAAGTAAAATTTCAAAAAAAAAAAAAATATTAAATATGTACGCTCCCGTGGGGTTCGAACCCACGACCACTGGTTAAGAGCTTTGCTCTCTAACAACTAAGCTGTCTAAAAAAAATATTTTCAATTTTTGAAATTTAAATAAATCCAAAATGTAGAAAACCCATTTTAATTTTTATTTATAAAACTCATATTTATTTCCTTATTAATTTAATTTAGATGTGAATAAATCTCTCTATTTATTTAATTTTGAAAAATTCGATTTAATTTTGGAAAGTAGATTATTAATTTTTATCTACAAATTTTAATTTGTTTCAATTGCTAACATTCTACCCTTACAATTAAAAAAAAAAATGAGATAATCATATAAAACGTAGATGGACGATTTCTATCTATATATTCATAACAAGAATTTTTAGATTTTTTTTTTATAAAGGTTAAGTACNTTGAATCGACATTTTTTAAATATTTATAAGAATATTTTTTAATTAAAAAAAATATTTATGTTGAAACTTTACAACAATAATTTAAGAATATTATTGAGATTATAAATATTTTTTAGATTAAAAAAAAAAAAAAAAAAGAATTTGTTCTTGCCTTCGATTCCCATTGGACGGTCAAAAGTAAAAAGTGATACCGGAAGAATTTTAACTCTATTTGGTAAATCTATTATTTTTAATTTTAATTTTTGACTTTCAACTTTCTTATACAAAAAAATGTCATATTCTCTAATTAAAATTTTAAGAATTACAAGGGTTGATTATATTTTTCATAACAATTATTTTTTTAAAAGGGAAATTAAAATCATATTAAATAATTACAATTAAAATCATATGCCTATTTTAATTACTATAGTTAAATCACACTATTTAAAGATAAATTAATTAAAGTTAAAATTATCAAAATAAATATCTCACTAACTAAAATTTATTTATTTTTAAAATAAAAATTCTATTTAAATTAATTTAAATAATTATAATAATTTTCGATCGGACAAAAAGTAATGTTTTAATATACTTTTTTTAATTAAATTTTAAATATAATTATACTTTAAATTATAAACCTAATTATTAAATTATCGTATCAAATAAAATTTTAAAGTTTTTTATAATAATTAAATGA